TGCTTCCGTAGGAGTAATACTGTACATTTACTCGCTCAAGCATATTGTTGTTGTATTAAAAGTAAATGGTTTATATATATATATATATATATATATATATATTTTAAATTTGAGTGCTAGCTAAATGGGGTAAATATCACCTTCAAAAAATTGGACGTTCTTTATTGAATCATGAATTTTTTTATTTTTTATTTTTTTGGTTAAAAGTAGTCTATGGGATGAAGATTTTATGTCCTAAAAGTTTAGGTCTTACCATTACTCTTAGATTGATTTTTACACGAGGGATAAATAAACATGAGAGCCTAGTACTGTCAAATTGACTTCACTTTGCTCGAAGAGGCCGAAACCTTCAGATTGTAAGTCTAGATTGAAGCAAAGTGAAGCTTGGTGCTATCGCATTGGTTAGATTTGGGCCGCTTCGTGCACCTTTGGTCAGAAAATCCAACACCTATTTTTCAAACAAAAAATACATTCCTTGGAAGAAAAATTTGTGCATCCGAAAAATAAAAAGAAAAAGACCATCACATGGAAGATAACGATGGGAAAAAAAATTATACTTTTCTTGGCTTATATATTACTTGATTTTCTCTTATAATGATTTTATCCTGGTTTTGAAGTTTTTATCTAGCAAGAATTCACATTTATATTAATTCTGACGACCTACCATGCCTAATAATATTTAATGTTGCCTTTCATGTATTTAAATTTGGATCTAGTGACTCTGCTATGCTTTATGATTTTTTTTTTTGCCTTGTATTGTATTTAATATTGGATCATAGGATGACACATCTAAATTAATTGACTTTATTATGTTAGAGTTGTAAAATTTTCATGGATACAGTACTTATTGATGGTTATATTGCAAATTTTAAAATTTTACAAATCCAATTTTTTATCCTGATCCAATATATTCATGATGTTTTCATTTACAATATTTTTCCCGATTCAAAATTCTTTCCCTAATTTTTGCATCCTACTTTTTGAACCAAAATCAATTTAATCCCAAATTTGTTGTGAGCCGAAATATTGTTTTTATCCGACTTGCTACCTATGGCATGAACATAAAGGAAAACAAATTTAAAGTTGTAAAAATAGTGTAATTTATAACAAGTTGTCTGAATCGTCTATTTTTCAACATTATCAAGTGTTTATAGATCTACTTGAAGATACGCATCATTTTTAAAATTTTAAATATTATAATTGGGGTTAAACATGGATTTTCAAGTCATTGTAAGGTTTATAACACCAGAACTACATCTTCCGACAAAATTTAAAGTTGCACCTTACTTGTATAGTATAACGTGGCCACCGTATACAAGCCTCACCCTTTATGAACAGGTTAATCAAGCTTTTAGTGGATCCTTAGCAAGAATATTTGGCAAGAACTCCATTTTTAGACCCCGATAACATTCCCCAGTGGTACTTCTCAAATATGATAAGAAGACAAAGACGTTGCTTGAACCCTTCATCCGCATACTACACTGGGATTATATATTAATTTATTTTTAGAGCAATGAGGTCACATTCATTTTTAACTATTAGATGTAAAATATACTTAGAGTGTATCATTAAGTTTGAAAAAAAAAAAAATTTGGACTTTTAACACGTCAATGGCATACCTCAGGTACCCAATTTCACATCGAACAACTAGGTTACTTGTGACTACCTTGTACCAAAAATAAATATTCTTCGTATATATATATTTTTTTTTTAAGTTTAGATCGAATAATATGGACAATTAAACTTCCAAAGGTTTGTAATTAGACAGAAACACCTGTTGAGAAACGCTTCATGACCCTAAAATTAAATTACCATGTTACTTTATCCCGGAAATAACTACATAGAGGAAGTTGTTTGTTTCCACAGACGAACGAACCTTGTATCGCTCTAGACTCTTCAGACTTTTTATGGAGGAGCCCAATTTCATTTTATGTTCTCCTAAAAAGATTAATTCCTTTATTTTCACAATAAAATCATATAATATACAATACTTTGTAAAGGACGCGGTTAGCATGCGGGCCAAGCCTGCACATGTACAAATGTGGGCTCCTTAATAATATATTTTTGAGATGGATTTTTGGAAGTAATTTTTAAGGATATATAATCGTCAACATAGAGATCATAAATATGAAAAATAAATAAATATTATAAACTAGAAATAATAATTCTATTATAAAAACATTTGGACTGTTAGTTTCAATTGTTTTTAGATGGACCACATATTAGGTGTGGTTTATTGAAGGTTGCAACCTTAAACAATCCAATTATGGCACATCTCCAAATTTATTATAACATGTAACTTTGGTGTAAAACATTCTTAGGATTATCTGAAAATCTATATCTAATTATGAAAATTTAAACTTAAAGAATAGTTAAATTCAAATAGATTTATAAACACATAAAAATCTTGAAAATGTACAGTCTAGATAATGTGTTGCAATATGCACTATTTCTAGGACTCAAATTCTCTCGCGAGGTCGACATGATCAATTGTAGGGTTTTCTAAAGTTAAAATAATATTTTTCGATAGTTTTTTGAGGTGCATCTTTAATTCTATATTTTTAAGGTTGCAACCTTATATAAACTTTTTCTCCACACAGGGTGCAGTTGGCATATAGATGCATCCATAGCTGTAAAGGTAAGGTGCACCTTCAAATTTTATCATGGGATATAATTTTGATGTAAAATATTATTAGGATTATCTTAAAATCTATTTTTAGATCTAATTATAAAATTTTAAATTTCAAAAATGGTTAAAATCAAGTAGTTCTATAAACATATGAAAATCTTGAAAATAGACAACGTAGACAATAAGTTGTAAAATGCATTATTTCTGAGACTTAAAATCATTTTATTTTTCATGGGCATACATCTTGATGTCGAGATGATCAATCAAAGGGGTTTTCAACAATAAAACTACCTTTTTCGATGGATTTTTGAGGCGCATCCTTAGTTCTACATTATAAGGTTGCATCCTTATTTAAACTTTTTCCTTCTTGTTATGCTTAATGGACGTTCTTGTAGCTAAAAGTGCGGTTATTTGGTGCAAGGGTAAACTTTGCAACATGATCATTGAAGGTACTGAGCAAGCACATGTCCCCTTGGAGGTTTTATGAGATGGATGTGGTCTGCAAAAGGTTGCAATATTAAACAATGAAAGTAGGGGCACTTTCAAACTTTGTCATAATATACAATTTTATGTTGAAAATTCTTAGGATTGGCCTAGAATATATTTTAATCTCTAACTATAAAATTTTAAATTCCAATAATGGTTCAAATCAAGTCGATCTATAAACTCATAAAAATCTTGAAAAATGGATGGTTAAGAACTTTAGATAATCTGTTACAACATGCATTATGTTTGGAAATAAAATTTTTTTTTTACCATATCCATACATCTCAATATGGAGATGATCAATTAGATGGTTTTTTAATGCTAAAATAGCATTTTCCGAAGGATTTGAAGGTGCACCTCAATTCTAAAATATAAAGTGTCAGCCTTATAAAGGAGCGGAATAGATGTATTTTTAAAAATCAAGCTTTGGAGGTCCAATTGATGGAAAGAAGAGTGGGAGTTGGTATTCTATAACCAAGACAGTCTTTTGGATCTTCTAGAATCGATATGGAAGTTAATTTTTCAAATCCGTTTATCCAAAGCTCTATAAAAGTGAGACAGAAAGGTCCTTGGATGTTGTCATTGAGAGGTAATTTGAAGTTGAATTTTGATGACAGCTTTTTTGGAAGCCCAAGGCCCTTTGGTTTCATGGGCATCTTACAAGATTATGCATGTGCTATTGCTTTTTTGTTATACAGGTGCTAGTGATATTTTGACCGCTAATGAAGCATAAATGGAAGCTTTGGAGCAATGTTTAAAGTTGCCAATACATAGACAAATGCATTTTTCTTGTCTTATAAAAGGGGACTCACTTAATGTTATTAATTGGTGTACCCAGACTTCATGTCCTCCTTGGCGCTTGAGAAGGAAGTTGATGAGGATTATGGATTTATGTTCGCATTCGCATATTTCCTTTCAACATGTTTATCGGTACACTAATTCATTAACAGACGGCTTGGCTAAGATATGGGTGGAACTGCCTTCATTTATGTTTTTGATATACTTCCTTCTGAACTCTGTACTTTTTTTTTTATCAATAAAATAATTAATATTGTCAAAAAAAAAAAAAAGTAGTCAACCTTATATAAACTTTTTGCTTAGTAAATAGTCTAATGTTTTTTATTTGTGAAGGTGAATCCTACATAATGGAACGTCAAAGACGTATTTTCTAACTATTAAAGTCTTTTCATATTATCAACGGGTTAGGGAAAACCATGCTCCTTTGTGGGATGCAAGTTTCAACCGTTTTATTGAGAGGTAATGAGCATCTTAGGTTATTTTGAACAAGTTCAGTTGCAAACTTGAGCATGCAAATACCTTCCGCTTTGCTGCATATTCCAAGATTTAAAGGAAACCAGTATGGTATGAGATTGTATGCTAAAGATGATTTGCCTTCGATATAAGGTTATAATAACTTTGATTCAAATATTAAATTTGACGGCTTAAGGTATGTTACAAAGTTCAAAAAAAAAAATTTTTTTTTTGAATATTCCACACACCACGAATAGCCAAAGCGAGTTCAATAAATTTTATCTTGAATACTGAGTTGAGTCGAGTTAATGTTAAATTTCAAATCTAACAGCCAACATTGTTACGACCTTCTTGTTGAGGTGGGTGATACCTAAATCACCACCCCAAAGAAAAGTTCATTGCTAAATGATATTTAGATTGAATAAAAGAAGGATATAAATGATTATGCAAGTTCCTCTTTTTAGAGAGTTGATTGATATTGTTTCCTCTTAAGTATTAGGAAATAAAAATCTTTAACTAATTTACTAAAAAAGTAGGATTATTTTGAGTTGCTTGGGGATCAAGCTATGTATTCAAGACAGCCTATATAAAGGATTTATTTAAGTGGGGAACATACTATTTGAGAAAGGTGGGCTTTATTGGGATAGGGAGAGGTTATGAAAGAGAACCCATCGTCCCAGCCAAGAAAAACAATGGACCTTCTTCAAGACAAAGAGAAAAAACCAAACGAAATAAAATAATTGTCAAAATAAAAAATGCCTCATGAATTAAGGGAATCAAGAGGGAGAAACAATGGACCTTCCCCATTCTCTCTCCTTCCTTGCCCTCCCCCATATTCTCTCTCCTAAAAAACGCAGGAGCCACTGCTCTCTCTCCCCGCCCCCTCCCCCTTGCATTCCTCATTCTCTCTCCTTCCTTGCCTCCCCCATCCTCTCTCTCTCCTAAAAAACGTAGGAGCCTCTGCTCTCTCTCCCCGTCGCTAGGAGGTGCTGGTCTCCGCACCTGCACCGTCGCTTTGTAAATGCTCTGCAACAACTCGGTGGATCTCAGGGTAAGTTTTTATTAATCTCTTTCTATGTTTCACTTCTCTCTCTGTGCTTGTTTCTCTCTCCAAGTTGTCAAAAACTTCTCTCTCTCTCTTTCAGGACCTCTCTTAAAGAGAGAGAGAGGGCATACAATTTTCAAGACCTATCTCTCTGTGCTTGTTTCTCTCTCCACGTGCTCTTCTGCATTTTTTTTTTTTTTTACAGATAGATACCTTAGTTTTTACCTCGAAAAAACCTAATCTTCACCTTCATGTGATCCCAGCTATAAAAATCTCCGATCACACGAAGTACGAATGCCACACTCAATGCCATTTCTTTTATTTTCTTTTTGTTTTATTTTTGGGATTTTTTTTTCTAGAATTTACTCTGTTGATTCTTGGGACTTTTTGTTACTCTCCGATCACACCAGGTAGAATTTATTTTTTGGGATTTTTTTGTGATTCAGTCACAATAACTGAACATGCGGTATATTTAGTTATCAAAGTTTGAAGAACACTTACTTTCTCTAAAAATTACTTTTGGATCTCACCAAGAATGAGAGAGGGCACGCAATTTTCAGCTTGCTCCCTCTCTCTCAACGAAAGGCTCTTAGTGTGGTACTTGTACATTTGTTTCTTGGATACGATTGATTCAATTTTTAGAGAGATTGACCTTTTCTAAAATTGTATGCCCTCTCTGGTGAGATCCAAAAGTAATTTTTAGAGAGAGTAAGTGTTCTTCAAGCTTTGGTAACCAAAGATACCACAATTTTGATTCACAGTTTTTATTCGATTCCAAATGTTCTTAAGAGTAAGTATTCTTCAGAGTCCAAATGTTTGAAAATATGCCCCATACAATTTTTCTTGTTTTGATTCCAGGTTTTATTTGATTTTGCAATTCTTTTCATACTTAAAGGATTAAATTTTGGATCAAGTGAATGATTAATTGTTATTTTCAGTATAATAATTACCTGATGATAGGAAAGGCCGAAGTAATGGTTTTGTTTATTTGATGATTTCTTATTCTTTTCATAGCTAAAGAATTAAATTCTATTGAGTAATGGTTTTATTTGTTTGATCAATCCTCTGCCTTGCTAGGCTTGAAGAATTAGGATCAAGAATTGGGTGATTCACAGCTTACTCTGCTTATTTTGAATGGAGAACTGAATGGGGTAGTGAGAGTAGAGCCTCCGGTTTGAAGTGTGGTGGTGAAGATATTTGGTTGCAAAGCCATAAAGTAGAAGGCATGAGATCTTCTCGCTCATGCTCATGTATTTTCAAGGCCAAAAAATCTTCGTGATAGAGGCAGAGAGGAACAATGTTGTAATCATATAATTCGAATTTGATTTTTATGCAAGCAAAGCTAATGGAGATCTCACTCACTCTCTCTCTATCTTCAATTTTAAAACAATTGATGTGTTTTATCTTGTGCTTACATGAATAAAGGTTTTTTTATTCAATGGGAAGTTTTGACCATCTCTTTCTATATATATGCCATGTATTTCGTACCTATGTGATTCATGGGGAATTGCAGTTCTATTCTATTCTCATAAAGCTGGAATGGCGTACCCATAACCCCTGCATTATTACTTCCAGTAAAGAAGAAGAGATGATTAATTCCATCCTTCCAATTTAATGAAACAAGAAATGGTAATTAGATTGAAAAAGCCATTTTGTTTTATAAGCAGTGAATAAAAAATCAGTTTAGGAGCCGATTCTACTCGACATAGTGGTCTTTTGAGTGGTAAAAGTGTAGAAGTTGAGATCTTAATCTCCAAACAGATATGTGATAAACCAAGAATACTATAATTGCAATGTTCTGCTCCTCTTCTTTCCATTTTATTGTATATTAGGAATAATTATGTTAGACACTTTAAGTACATCAACTCTTGCAATATTATATAGGTAACAAATAACATGTCACAATAGTTAAATGATATTGATCCTGTAACTCCAACCCAACTTGTTCAAATCTATTCAAGTTCCTTTCCAACCCAACTTGTTCAAATCTATTCAAGTTCCTTTCATGGGTACCAGAAACAAAGACGGGATATCAGTGAAATGGGTTTCTTGTGTTGAAAATAAGACCAAAAAGAAGATATGCAAAATAACTACTTATTTGTTATACATCTACTTGTCCTTGTCGATTTTAGTAATAGACCTGAAATTATCACTAGAACAGGTGGGGCAAATCATCAGCAACTTATTGTCATCAATAGCACAAAAGATACAAGAATTATTGCTAGAACAAGTGGGAGGAACCAGCAGCGATCCATTGTCACGTATAACATAATAAAAACTCGCTAACTCAATTGCTGCCCAGCTGTGCCTGCCATACCTCAACTTCATATTTCAACACATCAATGATATATCCACAAAGGGACAAAGAATGATGCTTTGCTTGAAAATCCTATTAGTGAATTAGCAAAAGACGGAGCATTTAATCAAGTAAAAATACATTCATTACATTTGATGCACAACATCAATATTGCATCCACATTTCAACCTTACAATAATCATTATGTACAACTCCAAAATTACATATACAAAGTTGTCACATGTAAATGTTCAAAAATCTCATATGCAAAGTAGTATTGCTAGCCCCAAAATTGTGTCAACATCACACCAAGAATGGTGTTCTCTAACATATAATGATTACCTACTAAATTAACATCTTCTTAATGGACAATTCCTATAATTATGGCCAGTTTGGCCACATGAAGGAACCTTACAATATCTAGGTTTCTTGGCAACTTTAATACAGGGCTTTAACCTTTTTTTAGGGGGCCGCCCTTTTGTGATAGACCGAACAGGGTTTTTTACATGGATGCTTTCACAATGAAGTCTATTTTCATCCGCTTCAATTGCTAGACTTGCATTAGACGTTTCATCAACCATAGGAGACCTCATGCATTTTATTTCTTCAACATGTTCCAAAATTCTTGAAAATTGTGCCATAATGAACTTGTAACAATCATCAAATCTTGCACTTTTTGTACCAATTGTTGAAGCTAATAATTGTATAGTTTGGACACGCTCAACATATGCAGCTGATGTGCTTGAGCTAACATTTGATGTCAATGATGTAGAGCGCCTCCAACGTTTTGGCAGATATCGATCTGGAATTTGAATAAAATTTTCCTTGAAGAGAACATGAGGAGAATGCCTGCAAATGATACCTGTAAACTCAAACCCTTTACAACTGCAATTCATAGTGTTATCTTTAACCATCAAAGAAACTTTTCGCCCTTTGTCTTTCTTTGAAAAGTGTGTCACTTCATAGGTTCCATCATCATTTCTAGATGTCAAATGTTGGAAAGATGAAATAATTTCTTCTTGTATCTTAGAAAATACATAAGGAATTAAGACATGTGCTGCATGGTCTTCGAAAGGGCACATTGTTCGAACATATACATTGTTGGACTTTTGTTGCATCAAACGTCCTACATCTCTCAACTTAATAACAACTGTCATCTACAAAAAAAGAGACAAATAAGCATAATAAAAAATAAAATGCCAACATATCAAAATATCAAAGAAGACATTGAGATCATTATTTCTTATACCTGATCTATCAATTCACTAAGAAGAGTTTGTGAACCCAAGAATCATTTCACAGATGCATTGATTGACTCTGAACGTCCTGTTGTCTTCATTTGAGCAAAAAAATGGCTTCTTAAGTATGGTAATGCCCAAAACTCTTTTAAATTCCACAGGTGGTTAATATTTCTATTTGAATGCAATAAAAACTTATTGACAAAAAGCATGCCAGCCTTCTTCAAAATCTTCAATGGACTCAAGATTATATAACTTGTAAAAATCTTCAATGGCTCGAGAACATCATGATTATGTAAATTGTCAAAGGTTACAATACGCCAATATGAAATATCAGAATCCATGACTTTGCGATACTCATATGTGCTCCACAATTGTATCTCTTTGATGATCGATCTCTTTCTCCTTTATTTGCAGATAATTCTTTGTTTATTAAATGGCCCGCCCTATGACAAACATATTATCTTCTAGTAATTCCATTGTCATCACCTTTTTTTCCAATTGTTCGTTGACGACGCACTGAAAACCACCATGCCTTGGCAAAAATCTTGTAAAATTCACAAGCATCGTCATGCCTTGAAAATATTTTTCCATGGTATGGAACTAAATCACTAGGAACTGTTTCTAATGGGCTTTCTACATATGAAGCAAAGCCCTCTACAAGCATGGTTTCATTTGGAGGAGTTTCCATATACTTATGTACCTGTAAAAAAGGGCTCAAGTTTGATTGTGAGTACCTGCAAAAATATGACTAAAACAGATAATGTTGATACATTACAGATTTTTGGGGCTTGTTCATAAAAATTATAATGGCTAAATAAATCAAGTGTAACTAAGATTTATACACAAAGAAAATCACATTTTTTTGCTTGTCTTTTCCTATTTTAATTTTAATTGTTTTCTAACTTTACATGCATCCCTTATCTACCGTGGTGAACCATAAGAGTTCATTGAAACACATACCTCAGTTTTACTTCTTCCTACCATTTAGAAAATACATAACACTACTTTGGCAATGGGGATGCAATGGATGAAAATCGCTAGGAATTTTGGTATTATAACATGCCTCTACTAGGAATTTTGTCGAATACTTTGCAGATGTGTTGGATCTCAACAAGATTTACAAACAAGTCAATAATTGCAGTTCATTGAAAAAAGTCAATAATTGCAGTCAATAATTACAAACAAGTCGAATTTTGTTTTCTGTCTTTACATGCATCACGTATCTACTGTGGTGAACCATAACAGTTCATTGAAACACAGACCTCCATTTTACTTCTTCGTACCATTTACTGTCAAATTCAACAGTCCCCACACTTTAATAATCTTCACTGTTTTCTAATTCAAACAAACTCCATCCAATCCAAGTTTCTCATCACAATTGAAGCTTTCTAGAGAAACACAGAGAAACATCCTTGAATAATAACTCTAAGAGAGGTCCTGAAAGAGAGAGAGATAGGTTTATGACAACTTGGAGAGAGAAACAAGCACAGAGAGAGAGAGGTGAAACATAGAAAGAGATTAATAAAAATTTACCCTGAGATCCACCGAGTTGTTGTAGAGCATTTACAAAGCGACGATGCAGTTCAGGAGACCAGCACCTCCTAGCGATGGGGAGAGAGCACAGAGACTCCTACATTTTTTAGGAGAGAGAGAGTATGGGGGAGGGCAAGGAAGGAGAGAAAATGGGGAACACAAGGGGGTGGGGAGAGAGAGCAGAGGCTCCTGCATTTTTAGGAGAGAGAGAGTATGGGGGAGGGCAAGGAAGGAGAGAGAATGGGGAGGCAAGCGGTGGGGAGAGAGAGCAAAGACGCGTCAGAGAGGGGGTAAAGGGCATAGGCCAAAAATTCAAAATTCTTAACCCTTTTTTTTTTTTTTTTGTTAAGCGAAACCCTTGCGCATAAACCTATGGTTGTTTGGAGGGTTGTTAACCCTAAAAAATCTCATGAAATTGTTGTATAGTAATATGATGTAATAATCTTAAAAAGTTATCTCGTGTCCATTTATTTGATCCAAATTTTAAAATATACACATTTTTCATTATAATGAACAATCACAACAACAACAAAAAAAAAATGGAAAATACAACCTAGAAAAAAAAAATTTAGCCTAACTAACATAGACCATTTATTTTGGTTAGATGCCTAGATATAGGTCTTATAAGGAGGTTTTCATTTTCAATTTTTTTGGATGGCTTTATTATCATTAGATGAACAATGTTAAAAAGGAAAAAAATGATTTTAAATTTATAAAGGCTAAGATCTTGAAATTCATAAAATGAATAGTCTAGATTCATTTTTGGAGGAGAATCATTTTGACCATATCTAGAGTTCAAATCGAAATTTTTTGTTTTAGGAGACTTATTATTGAAATGAAGAGAGTGTGTACAAAATTTGAGGTCATATAAGTACCACAAACATAGTTTTCTAGAAGTGTCGTTGCAATATACTATGATACAACCATTGCATTGGATCATTACTTATATATATATGTAATACAACTCAGACAATTTACATTGTCAGCTCTTTCTTATGCATGATATTTATGTAATATATGTTTGCCTATCTTATCAGCACTTTTCTACGTAGGACACTTGAGTAACATACACTTTCCTACTTACATTCTTTGACGTTTCCAGAAACTAGGAATACTAGATTTTATTTTTATTATGGGACACCAAAATCAATTCTTGAAGGAAAGGTTTTTAGGGGTATTTTGATCATTTTATTTATTGAAAATATTTTTTTATATTTTTTACTAGTGCGAGTTTAATAGAAGAATGGATGCCCAAAATTTGGTGTCAAAATAGTTTATAGAAAAAAATTAAAAATTAAATAGTGTAGAGACGTGACATTATGATTGGGACAATCTTAACCCTCTATTCAAAATGGACGGTTGGATAAGGGGGATGATAGAACTTC